ATCTATACTTACTTATTATTCCGAATTATTTACTTACTTTATTTACTTACTTATAAGTAAAGTAGATCTATATATAATAGCTAATTAGTTTTAATAAAGTAAAAAGGTTATAAGTTATATTAAAAGGTCTAAGTTATATATATATTAGAGAGGAGCATAGCTCCTTATATAATATCTATATCCTAGCTATTAGTATATTAGATTATCTTAGTTATATAGTCTTAATAATCTTATAGTATTATATCTTAATGCCCTCTTAGTTTACCTAGGAAATCGCATTAATATAAGCCTAATTTCTAAGGTATTATAATACCTCTATAATAACCTAATATAAGGTATTCTTTTATAAAGATATAATAAGCTTTATAATACTAAAAATACATTTATTCTCGCTAGATATAGCTAAGATAGAAAATAAGTCTATCGCTATATTAAATAATTATAGGAATTAAGTCTTATAGCTAAGCTATTATTAGAGTAATTACTTTTCTTTATAGTCTTCCTCTAAAACTATTTATAGGTATAAATTAATCTTATCTAGAGCTTTTTTCTTAGCCTTCTTAGGGAAATTTATAGTATATAATAATAACTTTAATTTATAAAATACTAGAGGGGAGTCTAGAGATATTAATACCTAATTACCTTAAGTATAATACCTATTAAAATAATCTCTAAAGTCCTAAAGGATTAAGTCTATTTAGTTTAATAGCCTAAGCTATAAGAACTTAATACTATATCCTAGGTATAATATTATAATTACTTAATAAATAATATTTTACTTTATTAAATTCTAATATTTATTAAGCTTTAATATTATATATTTAATTGAGTATTATATAAAATATAGCTTATTATTAGATAACTTAAAGGGCTTAAGATCTAAGTTATTATCTTTAAATTATATTAAGATCTCTATTTAATATAATAAAGAACTTAGTTCTCTACTAGTAGTTAATTCTATAGTTAAATATCTACCCCGGGTAGATATATTAATATCCTATTATAGCCCTCCTTATTACTCTCTTTCTCTACTATTAATAGGCATAATAATTATAATATAATTAAGTATTAGCTCTTAAAGAGTAATCCTCGGCGCCTAATATAGCATAGGGATAAGGTTAAAAGAATACCGCTATTATATTTTAAATAAATAGTCTTTTAAGAGATATATCATAAGAAATACCTCTATAAATCTAGGAGTATAACCCTTAAAGTACTTAATATATATAAAGTAAGGCTATAGGATTTTAATAATCTCGGCGAGTATTACTTAGTCTTTATAACTAAGAATATTCTTAGTAGAGACCCTTTTTTTTCCCTTAGGGTTAAGAAGACTAAGCTTATAAAAGATATTAATAATATCCTAAAGTCTAAGTATATAATAGATTATTAAATAAATAGAATTCTATTGTATATTATTATCTACCTTAATTATTAAGCCTTTAAGAGTATTATTAATAAATTATACTCTTAATTTAGCTATAATTAATTAATTAATCTTATTACTTATAATAAATAAAAAAAGCTCTTTATATTAAGGGTTTCTTTTTATTTAATAAATTAAATTATAGAGTTTTCTAATAGGGCCTCTTTTTCTCTATTTACGGAGTAATTTATATTCTTTCTTTTAGTTTTTCTCTATAATATAATTATTAAATATATTATTAGAATTGCCCTTTAAGAAGGCCTTTACTAATAGGTTAAAGATATAGCTAATATAATAAATTCGCCACTTATCTTCTAAGCTTTTAAGCTTAATAGGATTTACCCGGGGATAAAATATCTTAAGTAAAGCCTAAATATAAGTATTATATAGGTTAATATTATTTACTATAAAGAACCTAATCTTTTTTTCTAAGCTATATTTCTAGATAACCTTAGCTATTAATATAGCCTAATTTTCGCTATTATAATTACTAGAGAGCTTCTCTAAGCTAATAGGGCAGACTTATAGTATCTTAGCTATATTAATATAATGTATTATTACTAATAGGATAATAATATTATTAGGCGAAGTCTATATATTAAAGGAGGTATAAACCTTTAATAAGGCTTTATTTATTTTATCTTTTAATATCCTCCTATATTCTTTAAATTCTTATAAGATTTACCTTCTTATAGTATTTCTTAATATTAGTAAAACTTTAATAATAAATTTATTATCTAAGAAGGTAAAAAGCTATTAAAATAGCTTATATTTAATACTATAAAGAGGGATATTAATATTTATAATCTAGCCGAGAAGAAATTACTTAAAGATATCTACTTTACTCTTAATAATTAATAGCCTTCTTTTAATAGCCTACTTTTATATATTAAGGACTAATATAGAGGATAATAGAGCTAGAGATATTCTATTTAATAATTTAGGCTCTAAATTAGGACTATTATTATATATAATAAATACCTTATATATATAATAATTATTATTTAAGTAATAGATTAAGGAGGTAATTACCTTAGTCTTTAATATCTTAACCTAATTCTATATATTATATAAACTATAAACCTAGTATTAATTACCTATTATATTATTATTACTAAGCCTAATAATATATTTATTATATTAAAGGATCTATAAAAGGCTTTTCCTTTGCTTTTTATGTATCTAGTCCTCTAGGATATATTAGAGACTACTAATATATAGTAAAGGGAGTAAAGAAAGTTAAGCGATATTAAGATACTTAGGTCAAATAATCGCTAATTAGCTTATTATACTTCTTATACGCCGAAGGTTCAAAAGGGCATTATTACTAGCTATTAACTAGGTCGTCTCGAAGGAGGAGGAATAGGAAGTTCTTATAATAGATTCTTTATTAGGTATCTTAAAAATAGAATAAAATATAGTATCTAGGTTCAGGGGTATTAGCTATATTACTATATAGTCGCATTACTATAGTAGATTATTATATAATAAAGACTAATTATAGGAGGGAATCCTATTAAATAATTAGCTCTATAGAGATTAGAGATAATACTAATTAATTAATAAGAAATATCTTAGGAATAAAAAAAATTAAATAACTAGCTATATATATAGGTATAACTATTTAAGCTTATATTATTAAGATTAGAGCCCTTAATGCGATAAGCTAGATATAAAACTAGATATATAACCCTAATATATTATATATATAAGCTATATTTTATATTTAGTCGCATAGCGCTTATGGTTTTGCCCTATTTACTTAGATCTTACTTATTTATTTGCTTCTTAAAGGCTTTATTTATTTACTTAGCTACTAGGCTTACTTACTTACTTATTACTTACTTACTTAGTTACTTACTTATAATTACTTTACTTATGTCGAATGCTGATCTGACCAATAAGATCAAATTTGGACGAAACTGACGGCGATGAAAACCCTGTCGCAGCTCACGAATACGATCCTATATAAGGAAGGGTAAAACAGGCCAACTTAAGCCACTCAATTAGTTAGAAATCAAGACTCCTGCCGAGGAGAGCACCCCAATAGCGCCCATTTCGACAATACACGTTGGAGAGCATAGATAAATACCAAAACAACCTAGAGACTGTGTCTCCCGAGACGCTCAACTGGTGAGGACGGGGCAGAATTCAACGCCAGTACCAAGCTAATTTTGAGCAGGTTGAAAGATGGTAATGCGAATTAGCTATATGGGCCCATTCAACCAGGTGCTAGAAAGATCTACTATACACAGATTAGACCATCGGGTGCCTCATTGTTCCAGTCCAACTCACTAGTCAACATGAACAGGAAACCTATCCTAAAGAAAAGGAGCATATCAGCTATCATGCTGCAGAGGCCATCGTCATCACCATCCTTACCCCAGAAGACAACACCAATAGCCCAAGCCAAGGAGAAAGACAGCCGGCGATCAAAAAACACTTCTTCTGATCGAACAGCGACGACGGATAATACTATGTCCCCCTTCCCTTCGACACCAATAGGCCGCGATACCTCTAATATACTGCCATCGTCAGCGCCCACTAGGATCTCAACGCCAGATATCGAGCGAAAACGCATCCACTTCAATGATCAAGTTAAGCAATATATCGCTATCGACGTTAAGGGCGACGATGACGATGATACCAATACCGATACTAGCCCATAATGCCACGGTACTAAACTTGCTCCAACGCCCCCGTTAGCGGCCCTTTTTACCCTCCTGCAAACACCATCAAGTTCTAATCAAAATTCCTAATACTTGTTTTGCCTCTAAGCTATAATAAAATGATAATAACGTCTATTTTTGAGCTTCTATAATTTGACTTTTGAAGAGATATTCTATATTTCTTTTTTATAGAAGCGAACATAACCCAAGTTTAGATGCCATCATGCTCCTTCAATGAGTTGTTTACTGTAAAGAGCCCTCAATTTTCGCTCTTGTCATAGCTGGATACGACGTAGAGGGCAGTGTGCGAGCCAAACCGCTACTGAGGCACCATCGGTTGCTGCTGCATCTTGTCTGATCAACCAATCAACCATGGAGAGTGAGCATCTCGGTCCTCCCTCTTCACTTTCTGCATATGCCACGGCAAAATGAAGATCCTATCATCGTGACCCTTTCTTCTGACACCGCATCTGCGTTCTGCCCAAGTGGCGACTAGGGCTAAAGTGACCACGACAATCGTCTTCATTGATTTACCTCATTTCCCTCCCCACACGTATTTCGTGCACCGCTGGAGCTGACGTATGCTGATCCTGAACAGCATGAGCTGACGAAAATGGCACCGACGCCGAGTCAGGCCCATGCGCTTGCACTTGTGGAGCGAATTGAGGGCTGCCTAAGCCTCGTCGCTGTGTTACTCATCTTCATTGCGTACGGGCTCGTGGCGCGACTGCGGAACCCTCGGAATACCTTCATTATCATGGCGAGCATCGCCAACCTCGGCTCAAGCATCGCTTACATCATTGCGAGGGATGGACTCGCCGCTGGGGAAGACTCTGCGCTCTATAAGGCGCAGGCGTTTCTGCTTCAAATGTGAGGCCTCTTTCGTTGCACAGTCTCCTAAAGTTAAACTTGAGACCAGCGATACTAACGCATCGATAGGCTCGGGCAGTCCGATCCGTGGTGGGCTTTTGGACTATCCTTCAATACCCTCCTTGTTGTCCTGGGCCATACAAACCCCCATACGTTCCACGCATGGCAGCACTGTCTCGTCTGCTTCGGAGGGCCATTTACCATCGCTTTTGCGCTGCTTTTTATTTCAACACGAGCTCGTGGACCTATTTATGGCTAAGCCTACGTAGGTTGCTTTTGCTTGTTTATAAACTGAAAGCTTCACATTAACTATTGTATAGGTTTAGTGTAGCGTTAGTGATAATTGGCCAAACATTCGCGTCTTTTCCTCTTACATCTTCGTATGGCCTTGTATCGTTAGTTTAGTCATCCTGAATATCATCGTTGGCTACCGCATCTTTCACTCAAGGAATAGAATCCGAAATTTGTCAAATTCAATGGTAGTTTATTTGGTCATCCTCAATTTGTTTACGTCTGTTGACACAGCTCAGGACTCAACCAAGACTGCCACACGCAACGCCGAGAACGCTGCATATCTGGTGCTTGTCGCTGAAGACTTTGTCGCCCTCGCGCCAGTTCCCTATGTTTCGCTGCCTGTGCCGTTACACACATGACCAACATTAGGGGTTCTGGAAACCTCAATATACGAGACACCGGATCACTACCGATCGACAATCACTTCAAACAAACCTCGCGATTCGACTTCGCGAAAACACCTAGTACACCGCACCATAATGGTAACCAGGAGGGTACTATTGAAATGCCGTGTTGAGGACCCTGTGAAGAGGGTATATCTACGCGCCACATTCCTCTTCACTTTCAGCGTCGTCGTCTCGTGGACGCCAGCAACCATTAACCGCTTTCATAGCTTCAAGTACGGGCACTCCTAATTCCCGTACCAAATTGCGACGGTGTCCCTTCTGCCACTCCAGGGTGTCTGGAATGCCATCACTTTCTTTGTGACTAGCCATAAAATTATGGAGGACTGGGCGCAGGATCAACGGACTTTGAGGGTTTCCAGGCCGACAATTGCTACAGAGGAGGCGGCGATAAGGACACCTGCTAGAGGCGCGAATATGGACGAGGACCTGGATCCTACTGATTCAGGAGGTGGCGTTGAGCTGGGCTAGGTAGAACGCGCCCAACGAAGAAGTGGCGAACAGAAGTAATTTCATGGAAGCAGCATAGTCATATTCAGGAGCGAGCTTCTAAAGCAACAAATAATATAGGAGAACTGCCAATTTATCCCTCCACATCATCCAGTACATCTTCCTCGCATTCGTCTTCGTCCTCAACCCCAGCTTCCTGATGCTACTAATGTTCAGAAACAAGATCATTCGTATTAGACTTGGCCTCGGTCAGGGTTAAAAGCCACACCACTCAATCCACTCGTGGATTCCACTGTCCACTCCACTAGCAATATTCGGGTGGATTATATTTTGGCAGATCACCTCTAACAAAGACTAATATCTGCCCTCCACCTCAACAACACTCATCCTCGACTAACCTACACCAACACCCTAGCGCTAACAACAGCAGGTCTCGCTTCAGCCGCCGAAGATAGGAGACTAAACACTTAGAGAAGTCATCTTCAAGTTCACTTACTACTGACCCCATGAGATCCCGCTGAAAACGTCCAAATTAGCAATAGGAGAGCATAAAGCAGATCTTCGGACGGGCTTTAGGAGACCATAGCAAATTAATATGAAGAGATTATGTAATTTAGCAAGAGCGCCGTTTAGGCTTAGCCCAGGCGTCATAAATATATACAAGCATTCGCATAGCCGATTCTAGCAGAATCACCGGAGAATAACACCTAGCGTAAACCCATAGTAATAACGCCGGACGTGACATACCGGACACTCGTCTATAACTTTATCTAACCACTAGGGTGAGATTACAATGCCTTAAGGCATTCCACGCCTCCTTATTAATTATGCCAAAATTCTTATATATCTAGGGGAAGTTACAGTATATACACCCCGGCAGGATCCCCTCGGTAGAAGCCTTCCTCAGTAGCTTAATTAACCCTAATTACTTCTTTCCACACCTTCTATTAAACCCCCTAGTCCCCCTCTTTTGAGAAGAAGGGCTAGATTAAGCTAATCAACTTTATTTATCGTATCTCTAAGCGTAGACGAATCAGCACTAAAGCTATCACCACTAATATCTCATATTGACTTCATGTGAGATGGGGCGATAGACGAGAGCGGCTCCGCATAATTAATTCAGAAAGGTTCTACTACGCGCGTCCAAATCTCTGGACTCGCGCTAACGACGATGCTAACTCCATCGCCCAACGCAATCCGATACCCAACACTTCCACGGTCGACCAGGAGCAGAGGTGCGCCAGCTAAGAGTCAATATTGACCGAGTCTTCTCAATTAGCGACGCTTCACCATGGCGCTCAATCGCATCAAATCCCACGGGCCCGGCCATATCGCGATTGACAACGCAAATATCGGCAATAGGCCATCAAGCGATATCATCGGCGATAGACGCATACAGGTCTAATTCCACGATAACCCATAAGCGCTAGCGATATAATGCGACCGATTCTAGGGATCCTTTGCCGGCGAGCTACTAGGCATCGAACATTTAGAGCCTCTAAAGCCGCGAAGGATAAATAGCATCGCGTTTCTACTAGACATCGAGAAGCCAACTACTAGCCCGCGCCTTAATATCGCTATCTATATTATTAGCTCTAGAGGCGATATATAGCTATTTATTCCTATTACCTAATTACTTATAAAGCTACTATGCGGCCATCGCGTTAGAATCTATATATACCCTATCTTTAAGGATTTTATCGAGGTCTAAGGTATTAAATTCTTTAGTATTAGCGGGGATCTAGAAGCTCTTATAGCCTATATAGTTAAGAACCCTAGCTTATTACCTAGCTAAGAAAGTATTAAAGGAGGCGATATAGGTAAGAGGAGAAGGAAGATAACTAAGATTATTAATAGCGCCTAATAGAGCTATATCGAGGCTAGTAATAAGATAGGAGAGCGAGTAATAGCTATTAATATATAATATATAAGGGACCTCTTTATTATAGATGTTATTATTACTAACCTATTATTAATAGCTTATATTTACTACGCCGAGAAACTAAGTATCCCGCTATACTTAGTTTTTACTATGCTATAGTTACTAATAAATATATTTTCTTATCCCTTAGCGGTAATAAGATATAAAGATATTAATATATAAGTTATTAATTACCTCTCTTTCATAATAATAGAGTTATTAATATAGCAAGGGTAAGTATAATATAAGACTACTAGAGAAACAAAGCGAATAAAATATATTTACTAATTTTCTACCTTAGCCTAGGAGATTTAATTAATAAGTTCCGCACCTAAATAGTATACCTTAACCTAGTTAGCTTAATATAAGGGTATTAGCTACTCTCTAGGCTATGAGTTCTATATAATTTGTTATAACCTGATATACACCTATTACGTATACTAGCCCCACCTAGAAGTTCTTACTAATTAGCATTAGATTATACCTTTATTAGATTACTATAATCCTAGATTATAGTAATCCTAGATTATAGCGATCCTAGAGTATTATAATCCCCTTAGGATTACCTAGGTATATAGATATACTTATTAATACTTTCTTATATAGTAATTACCTTAGCTATTAATATAACTTAGTTATACTTAATACCCTTAAGTATATTATTAGATATAATTTATACCTTATTTAAGATAATATAATATTCTCCTCTACTAATATAAACCTAGTATAATTAGTTTATCCCTTAGGAATATATATAATTATTATATATTAATAGCTCTTATTTAGAGGATTACTCATATTACCTTAAATAATATTAAATATAATAGCTACTTAAGTAACTCCCGCGAATAACTACTAATAGGTCTTACCTACTAATTACCTACTTACTATACCTACCTAGGTTACCCTAATTAATAAAGATATAGAAAATAATAATAATAACGACGAGGATATTAAGTAACTTTATATATAAATTACCGCTATAAATACTAAGATAGATAATATATGCGAACTTATCGAGAAGATAGGTAAGAACTAGCGTATTTAAAACGCGGAATATCTAGATAATATCTAAAATATTATTAATATAGTAGCTATTACTATGAATAGAAGAGATATAAGAGAAATCCTAAAGCTAAATCCCTTAGAACCTTTTAATAAAATTACCTATAAGCTATTAATATTCTTTACTTAGCTAAGGGTATTTATAAGATATTACCTAATATAGTTTATCTTACCTATTAGTAAGGTTTAATATATTATAAGAAGACTTAAGAACTATACCGCTATATAATTTAAACTTATTATAAGGGAATATCTTATAGCCCTAGCTAGCTAATATTCGCTTTATACCTATTACCTCTATTTAGACTATAAAGCCTTTGAGGTAATACTCTAATAAGCTTTTAGAACTATTAATAAAAAGGCATAAGCTAAAAGAGAAATTAAGGCGCTCTAATAGACCTAATCTGCCTTAGAGTATAAAATAAAATACCTTTAACTCGCCTTAAAACTTAATTAAAATTAAGAACCCCTAATATCTTTATTCTTTAATAGACTTAAGAAGGAAATATAAGTAAAATTCTATAAAGAAGAATAACCTAATAACCTTATTAAATATATCAGTAAAGTAATTAAGATTAATAATTAATAGTTCTTATAGAAGAAACTATAGAACCCTAAATTTAGTAGTAATAAGGCTAATAACCTAAGATTTAATATTAATTAAGGTAAGAAAAGGAATAATAATACCTCCTATAGCATTAAAGCTAGCCCTATAATACTTAGAGCCATATAGAAAGGCAAATAAGACTACCGCGGTCTTAAATACTATTACTACTATAAGATAAATTATATTAAGAAGGTCTACTATAAGAAATAATAAGATATTAAGGAAAGATATTATTAACCTAATTAATAGTAATCCCTCCTAGAAGGTAAGAAGTATATAAATATAGCTTACTAAGTCTAATAAGAAAATAATAAATTATAAATCGTAACTTAATTAATTAAACTTATCGTAATATCGCAAAGTAGATATAATATATTAATAAGACGAGGCTAAGATAAATATAAATAAGAACTAAATAAGGGAATAGCCTATAATTAGGTAGGATAAACTAAGAAATAGCCAAAGGAAACCTAAGATATATAGTAGAAACTACTCCTAGAACTAATAAAGTAGGAAAC